ACCAATAGCAAAGACTTTCATGGTTGATATGATGTGTTTATTTGAAGAGAGGAGTTGTAATGTTTCTGGTCTTTCATCTTGCAAAAATTCTGGGGTATTTATATGATTTTGAGCACGGCGACGCAGTCGCTGGTAGTGAATCTCGAAGTGGAGTAGCCTCGCCGACTGACACGGCGAGAGTCGCGGCTGCGAACCCGCTATGATAGGCGGTAGCCAGGACGGATATTTCAGCAGATAAATAGCATATGTCCGTAGAATTGAGATTGTTTACGTCATCAGTGAAATATAGGTATATTATCAGCAGTCGTTCCCATAGCTGCAAGGAATCAGAACACCCTACAAACCAGAGACACGCATATCGAGCAGAAAAATCACAGAAAAAAAAGCGGGATATAGGGACTACAAAGTAGATAAGAAATCCGACCAAGAGGCTTGCAGTTCCTGCTGCGTCAAGTTCTCTGGAGTGGAGCCGTAGGAGGAATCCGATAGACTTGCAGACCATTGCAAATTATCATACGTAGACGTGTTAATAGGCTGGCTGTATGGCATCGCCATTGGCTCCGGAGGTCCCACGGGGAGTGTGACTGCGGCAAATTCCCCAGAGCCTGGACCCACTTCCGCATCGAAATAGTGGCCGGTGGCATCCAACTGTGCTATCTCGTTTACTGGATGGAGCATGTGTGGAGAGGTGTGACCGAAATATTGTGATTGGGTACCAAACATTTGACCTTGAGCGTGCCGAAGGGCTTGGAATCGAGCGCCACGACCATGTTGACTGTACCACCTCGCTGCACGTCTTGCGTTACGAGTAGCGCTTTCACCACTACGAATAGCTATGCCAGTTGGGAGCCCAGGAATGTCACCAGTACTTTGGGCCGGCCCTACATCTCCCTCTGGTGAGTGGCTTGGGTTCGACGCAAAGCTCGCGAGGGATGAGTGTGCCCGTTCCTGGAGAATCAAAAGATATGGCTACACAATGTGAGGATGGAATATGAACGTGTCACATGGCCTACTCACGAGCACCTCCTTGGCCCTGACGCAATCACTGGACGGTTCATAGACCACGGCGATTGATGCATCAGCGATTCTCGACGCTTCTATAGCACTGTAATAAAACGGCATGCGGATGGCAAAACTGTACAATACAATCTAAAACGGAGTTCAACAGCCGTCTGCCTTGTTTCCGGTGGAAGACGTACCATTGATGTAAACAAATGGGGCCACACCAGACCCATTCTGGGCAGGAGCCCTGGGATTTGTCTACAGAACCGTGCAGCGGACTCCATCAAAGCCTTGGCGGCATCGAAACTGTACCGGCGCTGATTAGACCGCTTACACCTCCTAAGCGTTGAGAATCTTACCTTGCGGTAACAGACGGTGCCAATTTCCCACCGGTCGATCTATCAGACGAGGATCGTGTAGCGGCAAAGGCGAAATATGTCCTATGGAGGGTAAGCAAGGAGCTATGGTACCTGCGTTGCGTCAGTAAGAAATCCAAGGTTGGATACACAAACAGACCAAACCAAGAGCATAAATCGTTGGGGAACACCGGCATGTGCATCTCGGCTTGTTAGTCCTTCCTCGTCCTGTACAAATTCCGAGTGTAGGCTATGGAGTTTTCTATCCAAAGCCAAAACAGCAGCGTAATTGGGGTGCTGCGCCGTGGCCATGAATAACTCGGCAATCTCCTCCATAATCGCAGTCAGGCCCATTTTAAATTTGATGACTATCGGATCTCAAATAATGTCAACAGTGGGGGCAGTGTGCTTACTAGGGGTGGGGTTCCGCTCATCGTATTTGGCACCTTCAACAATGAACCGACTAGACATTGTAAGCGGTCGTCCATATAGAAGGCTCTGCTCAGGTTAATCGATATATACGGAGGATTAAATCGACCTCTTACTTCTGAGGCGTCGAAGAGGCATAACTAAAGCATATGAGCACACAAGGCAGACCCAGAGAGCACTTGTACCTACTTCGGAAAACAATTGACGTCTTCGAGCGCATGTTTCGTCATCCAAACCAAATTGTTTGGGATTCCTGTCTAGGAATAATTGAGATCCAGTCATTTTGTAAAGTTCATCTCTTACGCAGTCCAATCTAGAGCAGGTGAGATTTGCGGCACGGATTTGGAACGGTAACTTACGCTTTGAGCAACTTTTAAACTCCATGAAATCTGATAATATGTCTTGCTTAACTCAACCTCTGGTCTTGATGGGAATATACAACACATTAACGATACCGCCTAGATGTACGAGGTTAGATGTTTCAAAAGGGACTAGAGCAAACGAGCCTCAATGGAATCGACAGATTGCTCCCAATCACCAACACATGTAAATACCGATGATTGTGCTATCTCCATCCACTCTCGTGTGACTGGTGCATATATTGGTCTCGACAAATCCATGAGAGCACCTAACGCCAAGACCGAATAAAGAGAGCAAAGCTGATAGTTGTTCATGTTACCTGTCTCTTCACCATATGCCGCAGAGAATATACGGTTGTTGAATGCTTCCCGAGAGACGAGGTCGTGACTATAAAAATTAGCGAGTGATTCTGCTAAAGCATCCAAATCACTTACGCATACGTCTGGTTGTCTTTGATCAGTGGTTATCAGAATAAGAAATGGATATAAATTCTTACAGCATATTTAAAGTATATATCCACAAGCGCCAATGCTTCTTCTTTGGGAGGAAGGTTTTGCTGGGCCATCGCAGCAAAAACAGTAGGTGGATACAGCATCGACATGGGTAGAGCAAACTTTGCTTTCGATTCTGATTCTGGTTCGAAGTCGTCGGCCACATCGTGGAACTAGGAGTATTTTTAGAGAGTAGCTGAGAAAGGAGGGTGAAACGGACTAACATCCATGTGAACCTCTGCCAATGCGGTTGCCTATATCCAGTGAGTATATGATAGTTTAGAACTTGGGGGCATGAATACATACACCTAACCACCTGTTATACCCACTCGAAACTTGCATGGTGCCAAATTGATTGACGAGAGGGTCGTCATTACTTCTCCGAGAACCACTAGGAGCAGCCTGGTCCTCCTGTATATGAGGTCGGGCTATCTGGAGTAGATGTGGCTCTAGGAGTGGGTGCCGCTCGCTGGAGATTTGTTGCGTTGTCTTCTCGAGAGCCTCCTCAAGGTCACGAATTCGTAGCTTCAAGCCCTTATTTTCCTCATGTAGTTTTTC